GTATAAATGCCCCGCACGCTCGTATAACCTGAAGGAACATGCCATTTGTTTTAGATTTTCATTAGAAAAGTTACTGTCACAGGCGTGAGTTCGTGTAACTACTCTTGTGGCATAAATATGCTCCTTGGTGCCTAAGTAATTTAGCAAAAGGTCTATAGACCATTTCTGAAAAGCGCTTCTCGTCGATGCCATTTTCAGCGTTCGTGCGTGTGGCGCGTACTTTGCTCGCCTTCCAAAGCGACGAACATGTGCGTGCTGGGCTGGGACCTAACACATGTAGACTCTGATTCTCGTAAACAATGAAATGTGTAGAATGGAATGAATTGCATTCGTGTAGATCAGATGGAAAGTTACTGGTCATGAAAATCGTGTTAAAATGACAATTAAAAGAACTCTGCAACCACCAAGCCAAACATCAAGGCGCAATGGAATGCCTATAAAATACACAAATACACTGTTCATCTTCAAATAAGGAATATTTGCTTGAAGATACAATGATGCATAAAGTACAAAAAGACACAATAAAACTGTTAATTCAAAATAAGTTAACAAAAGTCACTAAAAGATGCGTATCCGTATTTTTCTTCTTTTACTTTTGGAGTAAAATGCAACGCGTTCAAACACCCATCCACGAGAGCACATAGGAAGGGGATAATTCTATATAAGCTATCTTTTAAATTAAGTTTTGGTTTAGTACAGTTTCCAGCAGCTGTAAATTTGCATGCCTCCTCTCAACGACAATAATATTTTCATGGTTTAAAAAAAGCTTTTCAGCCCCATATGAAATTTCTCCGCAATAGAATAAATTAAAGACGCTTTCATCACTTCTTCTGTAGAGAATATTGCACGCCAACCATTTGACAAACGAGGCAAAGGCTCTATCGTATATTAATGGAGTTCAACACCTGCTCCGTAAACCTCTGTAATAGCAGACAGGAATAGCAATATGTTGAAAATCGTGTCTAAATTCAGATTTGAGCTTTGTTTAGATGTTTTACATCTTGTCTTCAACATATCGGCCACGTGAGTGGAACTCCGAGAGTAGCCCAAACTAGATTCGACGTCCGAAACAGAAATAGTGTCTATAAAAAATTAAAGAAAAAATATCACTGAATCAATTCTGAGTAACAAGTGTGACTGTGCAAAATGTTGACAATAGAGTTAGATTTTGTACTATTTTTCTCGATATTATTAGCGCTCTTCTTTGGACGGATGTCGTAATGGTCACAGCGGGCTTGAGTTTGCGCTTACCGCTCTTGAAGCTGTTCCAGCTGCTGAAGGATACTCAACTCGCAGCACGCGGCTATAAAGTATTCCGAGCAAAAGTGAAAATGTTTTACGTGACACTAATTCTCTCGGCATACAGCTCGCGCAAAAGCACCTTGACGTGGCTGGCCTCCATTGGCGCCGGGGAACGCATTTTTGTTTCTCACGTGCACAAAAACAAGGGTAAAAAAGAAGCTTTTTCCCCGCACTGTTCTTACAATCCATCGCGGAGCACAGATTGCTACCCATTGCAAAGTATCTTTCAACATTGAAGCTGCGAAAAAATAATCTCGATCGCTAGCGCCTGGAAAGCCACTTCGCGGCTGCCCGAGTCGCTCGTCCGCCTGCCCACCCGTGACGTACGCGAGTCGCTTCCTGGAACCTTCCCGGCCGGCGTTTCTTGGAAATTTATTACCTTCACGGAAAATTTTTATTTTTATAAAATATTTTGGTTATCAGTTGACAAAGGAATATTGATGCGGTCTGAAAATTTCCAGCCAAATTGAAGTTTATCAAAAAATCGGCGGAGTTCCCCTTAATTGTATCACAACAGTCTCTGCTGCACTAAACCGGTGCTCGAGAGACGTTGAAGTGGCCACGACACGTGCAACCTTCTGAAATTGTCTGGAGTTACAAATGTCGCCCCTACAGTTTACTTTAGACTAAAGTTGCACCTAAAGTTTTTCCTTCATACAGGTGTACTCGTTCACGCCTGCTTGATGAAAGCGTAGAATTTTTACTTTATAATTCTTCAACTCGTCACTAGTTCGTCAAAAGTTTACCAATTAACCGGTTAAATAAATTAATCGCGAGCAAAGCATGAATGTATTAAGCATTAGCTTAATCGATGAATTACCTAGCCCTAATAAAACGTAAGGCTGCACTCTAAGAAATGCCTGCGCGACTACTTACCCGCAAACCACTCAAAGAGCCAATCTCTGCGAACTTAGCTCAACGAATGATGAGGCGGAACATCCGTTTAAACCTAAAAATGAAGTCTGCGATGTGCCATTACGCAATGCAAAGCGTCATGATTGCATTGCGTAATGCCACAGCGCAGACCTAATTTCGAGATCAAAACAGATGCCTCATCATTCGCTGAGCTGATTTCGTAAATGACAGAGATTGGCTCGTTAAGTGTTTTGCGGGGAAGTAGACGCGCAGGCTTTTCTTAGAAAGTGTATACCTCACTCAGGAGCACTCGGTTTTTTTTTTTTTTCGTACGGTCTTTAACTTTATGGTATCATTCGTGATCTGAATGTTCATGAACCAAACAACTAAAGGCTCGGCAATATTTATACATCCCATTGATTTCGAGGTGTTTCTGAAAGAGATGGCGGTAGTGTCCACAACGTTTTGTGAAATTGGCTCCTTGCGCCCTCCTTTGGAAATTTTCCGATTAACTCTCTAACGGACTGAATCGAGCTGAACAATTGTATAAATCATCACATTCCCTGGAAGAATTATTGATGGTAATAATACCGGGTTTTTGAGTGGGACAAAAAATTCCCACTAATAGAGTAGCTGGGAGAACAAACATAGAAAGTATTTTCAGGAACAAACTGCCGGTCACGGCGGACTTCGGGGATGGAAAATATGCTAATTTGCTGAGTAATTAACGAAGTCTTAATAATTATTTTTATTTAAAAAGTTTGGTTTTAATTAGAAACTTTCTGAGCGTCATCGAAAACCCTCAAATCAGTAAATTCTAAGATCTGCAGCACCGTGCGAGTATACAAACATTTTACCATTTTACAAAAAAAAAAAAAAAAAAAAAAAAAAAAAACGCGGATAAGAGGTTAATTTTTGTTTTCGCATCGCCAGCCACGTGGCCAAAAATCATGTACAAACGCTTCTAGTTATACCATCAATGGAAGCGTTTGTTAACCCTAAATGTTTTTGAGCGCCACGTGGGGTCTCGCTTTGAAGCTGAAACAGAATGTCTCGCTAAGTGAGTTATGTTCCTCAACCATCCGCGTTCGTATAGACACGGTCGTTGGCGCGCATTATGACGCGTATACATCGGTCAGATTTGAGTAAGCTCTATACTCGTCAATTTAATGGGAAACAAAACGCTCTTCGCCTTGCCGCTGGTTGCTGCTCTCGACGGTTAAATACATCATTACATCTAAACGTGAATAAATAAATAGAGCTACGCTTATGAAGCAATCACATTCCTAGAGCTTCGCCCGAGTACAAGGTGATAAACGTTGTCTTTAATGTTACAAACATTGCAACTGCCTCGTACGCGCTTCACTCATCCCGATGATGCGTGCTGAGGTGACGCAAGCTAGTCTCGACGCCCCCCGGTGGTCGGTGGCCGCTCAGTTCGAGAGGGGGCTGTCAATGTTTTATTCGTTTGTGCGTAGAAGGCGCGCTGCGACGGTTGGAACCGCCTTTTTGTTGTCGAGGTTCCCCGTCGGCTTTCGGAACGCAAACTGTTGCGAACCCCGACCGTTCTTCTTAGGAAAATGTCAAGGGCGATGCTCATAGCACGCTGGAAACGTCCTTGGTGACTTCGTGACATAGAGGCTCGATATTTTCTAGTGCAATTTCGAGATACCGCGGAAGTTTTAGAGCGCAGCTCTTAGGCGCCCGTTTCCGGCTTGAGCGACGTCGGCGTCGGCGTCGCCGTCGGCGTAACCGCGCGGTGCGTTATGGGAAATGTCCCATAATGCACCGCGCGAGGGTCACGTTACCTCGAGAGAATCACGTGACCCCCGCGCGGTGCATTATGGGAAATGTCCCATAATCCACAGTGCGATGGTCACGTGACCCCTGCGCGATCACGTGACCTTGGTCAGAGGACCCCCTTAAGGTCACGTGACGCCCCCGAAGTCACGTGACCTCCCTGAGGTCACTGACCCCTCCCCCCTGAGGTCAGGTGACCACCTGAGGTCGCGACCACCCCCTGAGGTCCCGCGACCCCCCTCCCCTCGCATGACCTTTGGCCATGTAAAGGAGGAGGGAGGAGGGGTATACCCTCCCCTCAGTACCCTCCTCCTCCTCCTCCTCCTCCTCAAGAGCTGCGCTCTAATTCGGTGTTATAAGGAGTTGTAAACGGCTTTCATTTTTTTTTTATGTCCAGAGATATTCTTTTCTTTCGAAGTGGTTAGACCTTTGAGAATTAAGCATTCGGAACCTAGTCTCAGACATCAAATTAAGCCAAAAGCATTGAATGTTTTCAATAAAGACTCCACAGTTACGTCTCAGAACACTTCTTTTTTTTTCGTGGCACTGCGAGTGGCACAGCAGGAGCGAGAGGCGCGTTGACAGACGACGCGGAAGCGTGACCTTGCCAATAAACTACGACGCAGCTGAACCGGGAGGCGAAGTTCACTTGGCCACTGGACAACTTTGTGGCACCTCCTTTTTTCAAAACGCCTAAAGGGCGTAAATCTTAGAAAGCTTCTTTCGGACGCTTTGATGACGCTGAAGGCTGAAGCGAGTGCAGTAAAGGAAGTAATTGGTGCTTTAAACTGGGAGTGCTTTGTGTGTCCTTAAATGCGTAAAACGAAGGTGTTGTTTAAGAGAACGAAAGAGGGGCATTGAAGACAAAGGGACAATACAGGCTTACGACTTCGTTTTGTTGGAGTTCGAAAGCCTTTATTGTTTGTTTGTATTCAATGTCCCTCTTTCGTTATCGTAAATTAGAAACCAACACGCCCAACCATCTACAAAGGTGTTGTTAGGCGAACTGCTGTGTGTCTGACTGGGCATCTCTGGGATTGCAGGCGTGCGCCCGTGATCCGTTAGGGTCGCATGGACGCCCTGAACGGCAAGGCCAGCGCGGGCTCCGTCCGTCGCCAGGGGTCTCGCCTGCGGCGGAGTCAGGAGTGGCAGGACCCGTACAGCTCGTCGGACAACGAGGCCCCCTTCGACCCGCCCGGGGTTGCTCACCACCAGGGCTCCGGGCACAGGCACCAGTACGAGGACCCCCGCAACGTCGTCGATCACCGGAGCATCGGTGAGTGGCCTCGGGAGATCACAAGTTGTTTCCTAACCCGACAATGACTCAGCTCCATCTCTTTTTTTTTTTTCTTTTTTTTAGTTGCAGAAATTGCGGGGGAAAAAAGCTAGCTGTACGAACGTGATGTAACATTTCCCAGTTTTGCTTCGACACTGGCTAACTCGCTGGCGGCTCGCTGAAAGCTGGTGATGACCTGGGCATTAGATTACGGCGTCCCTTTGACATAATACTTTGGCTCAAACTAAACTTTTTCTTTTCTTTTTTACTGAGGTGATATCGAACATTTTGTTTTCGCTCGATTTGAAGCGGAGTTACGCTTTGAGTAACTTTTTATTGCAGATAGCTTCGAAGTGTACTACGTGCCGCTCAGACGTAAAGTTGTTAAATTCAATTTTCCTGTTGACGAGAGTAAGCCCCATAAAGTTCTGCAGTGCGTACCATTAAAATAATTAAAAATAATTAGGTGACATGGTGCATTTTCTTAGACGCAAGGCAGAAGACATCCAGAAAAGTACAGTCTAGCATTAACTCCACATGCACTCACATGGGTATAACGGCGTAACACGTTTTATTTGAGGACACTCAGACATGTGATGAAATCTTGTTGCTCACGTTCGTTATATTTAAAATAACGACTTTATTAACGATAAAAGTCTAGATATCTTCTTTGTTGTTTGATTGTTTCACAATATTGCATCTTTTATTTCACTTTACTGCATGAAGTTTAGAGCGGCCATCGAGGATTCAGAAATTCTATTTTAACTTGGATACGAACTTGTTTCCCGGTGGGTATTTCAATTGTGCCAGCGAACATGCCGACTAGCAGAGGGACGGCTGGCTCTTCAAGGCCTCGATGCGCCCGTCTTGGGACGCGGTAACATTGACACGCATGTCTTCCGGGGAGCGGATGAGGGAGTCCTACCTCTAAGGTTTCTTTTTCCTTGCCCACTTCGAGAGATGTGACCGCCCTGCGGTATTTGCAACAAAATTCCAAGTAACAATATTGTTAGGGCTATTTTGCGGTCAAGGGAAATGAGCATAGATCACGGCATCGTCTTGCGGACACTAGATTCATGGGGTCCTCGGAAGGTTCAAAGCGCTCTGTCCTGTCCCCTCTTCTTTTCCTTGGTGTTTGCGCTTTTGAATTTTTATACAATCCTCAGAAGGTGTCTGGTGCGTGACGGCCGTGCGCCTCGTCGTCTTGAACTTCACATTGGTAAAAATAATTATTAAAACTATTTTTTTTAAATTTACGAACTATATTGTTTATTGGTGTAAATGATTTATATAAAAATATCGCAGGCCACACTATTTGATTATTGTATTCAGTGATGCCCCCAGTGTACTTCTACAAATTAAAAATGTTGATCGAACAATGATCAACTTCTCAATCGCCTGCGATAACTGGACACGACGACTACACAATAGTTTAGAATATATTCATAGTGAAGGATTAGAGTGATTATACATTTACTAATTGGAATAAAATTTAGCATGTCTACTTGCCTTTAAGTGTTTTATTTTATATTTTATTTAGTTTTCCGGTGCACTGTGGTTTGTAATGTAGCTTAGTTCGAATGCAAAGTATTTGTGCAGTTTTTTAATTCTTTCTAGGACGTGTTTACTTTAAATGCGTCTGCGATTTCAAACCAGGTGATTAAGCTTTTAAGTCAGGCATCAAAATAACGATTGTCACGGTTGGAAGTGAAAGTTGTAAGTTCGCTTTCGTGTGCCTGTATTTATCTAAATATCCCCCTTTATTTCGGTCAGGTAAGGTCGACAGAGCACACGTAACCAGCGAAAAAAAGCAAGAACAACAACAAAGAAAACGATATGCTGTACCGGAAAGATCTACCTGAGCATATTCTGCGGTTCTCAGTACGATGTGTTAATCTGATCAGCGTGCCACAGACACTGTGACAGGATTGTTAAAACAGCCGAGCTGCCATCCATAGTTCTACGAAGAGAAATTTGAAGCATATATGAAATTAATTATATAAAGTCATACTATAGTTATATGAGATCAAATCGAGTGGCTGCATAAATGTTTCTGGGATGAGGTTTCCCGTATTTGTAACAAAAGCACGCAATAAACAAGGACGAAAGGAGCGGACACAGAACGACAAACACAGCGCTATGGGCCTTACCTTTTTTCCCCTTGTTTATTACGCGCTTTTGCTACTAGTGGGAACTGTCACCAAATCGCGCAGGCTTCCATCTTAACAAGAGGTTTCCCAGATTGAACAGTCAGTTTCGAGTCTAGCCGTACAGCTCAAACCTCGATGATTTCAAGTACTTCTTTAGCAAACGTAAACGACGGTATAAATAATGCATGAAAATTTGCATATTTTCCCCCTTGAGTTGTTTTAAAAGACATCCAAGATTTTTTGAGATGGTGTTGAAGGGATGATTTTAGTCACTTATACGTTTCTCCGGGCATCACTTGAATGATGATTTTATTTGTTGTGATAGATTGGTTTAGGTGTTTTTTTTTCTTCTTGTTTCTGAAAAGTCTCTTAAGGCAGCCCGAAAAAACTATCAAAAAAAAATTGCAGTGACCTCTACTTATAAATTTCTATAATGCAAAGAGGCTGTATTTAAGAGCGATTCTTTCAGTTGTTTAGTAGACACTCAACAGTCGTTCAGGGAGTAAAGACCCTATATTCTGATCAATTTTAGGTAAACTGAATTTGTGTGCCATGTGACTAGAAAGGGGGACTGGGACTGGAGGCAAGTGGGTGGGGGAGAGGGCAATGTAGAAAGGCGAAGAGATGGACTGGGAAAAGGAGGGGGAGGGAAGTGAGGAGAGAGGATTGGAAAAAAATTGTAAGACGTTTACAAATCTCTGTAATGCGAAATTCGAGCGCAGCTCTTGAGGAGGAGAAGGAGGAGAGGGTATGTCCCTCCTCCTCCTTTTCCGTACCCTCTTCTCCTCCTCTTCTTCCATACCCTCCTCTCCCCTCCACCTCCATTTCAGAGTTCCCTCTAAATTTAACGAGGGAACAATTGCTGTTTAGATCAGGAGACGTGAATTTTCCCGCAAGGTTTAGCGCGGAAATTGGATTGACGTGCGGTTGACGTGAGGTCAATTACTTCAATTTGAGTATATATGTCACTGGAAGTTGGGTCACGTGACGTCACTTTGCCCTCTAAATTTAGCGGGGAATGCATGGACCCATGAACGGACGAACGAGCGGACTAACAAACAAACAGACAAAAGTTTGTGACTGCGGATTCCGCTAAGCATTTCATACTTAAAAAAAACAAAAAACATTGATGCCATTATTCTCGCTTAGAAAGCTGTCCTTTATGAGTATGATTGTCTTCAGGAAAATCTACAGATTACTTATTTTATTCATTGATTTCTACGTACTGCGAACCGCCTGTGTTACGGCAGGATGGGCAAAAAATATAAGAAAAAAATCTCACGTAAACAAGCGTGACAATCATTGCTGCGGTGACAAAGGCAAATGTCACCATAATTTGATGCTGAAAGTATTCTTGCAATACTAATGCCCACACGAAACAAGAAACATCACGATCAAATGATTTTACATGGTATTCAGAGGCAAAATTACGTGACACTCTTAAATGTTGTGATAGATGTTAATCAAAGCAGGAAAAACTACAGCAAGCAGTAAGAGGACAATGCAAAGAAGAGAGAAACGAGGAGGGTTAAGAGAAGAACGACGTCATGGTAGCTGGGCGAAACGACGGAAAAAAGAACCTGTAATAATATTAATCGTGTACAAACAAATACACACAAAAACCAAGGCAAGCAAGCAGTAGAACAATTTTAGAGGATCACCGATATAATTAATTTTCGAGGGAAATCACTGTATCAAGGTTTTGTTTAATTTTCCTTTCTTGAATGGCACCGAGAGGTGAACATAGCACATTTTGGTCAGAAGGAGAAGTTGCACTTCTAAAGTATACACACTCGTCCGCAAAACAGGTAATACTCAGAGATGGATCATAGGCTGGTGCGGTCAGGATGAATCGTAATTAATCGGTGATTCTAGGAGAAACGACTGCTCGCGTGAAAGAAAAGGTGTTTAAGAGTGCAGCTTTTAGGCGCCCGTTTTCTGGTTGAGCGGCGTCACCGTTGGCGTAACCGCGTGACGTCAGACTTGACGTCACGTATGACGTCACGAGGGTCACTTGTGACGCCACGAGGGTCACAAGTGTGACAAGTGACGTCACGAGGGCACGAGGTTGACGAGTGACGTTACACGTTACATCACACGGGCATACCTTCCCCTCCTCCCCCTCAAGAGCTGCGCTCTAATTCGACATTACAGACGATTGTAAACGTCTTTTATTTTGTCTTTAAATACGGAAGCCTAAAAATGGCAGAATTAATAGTAAAAAAAATAATATGCATCTTCAGCGCACAAATTCGCCTGCGTACTCACATTTTTTACGCTAGGTTTTAGTTTATGTGGTTACTTTTAAAGATTTCGGTAAAATTACTTTTCTATCTGCCTCGTTAAAAAGCACCAAGAGTAATGCGAGTACTTTCAACTAGCAATCGGCGATCAAATCAAAGACGAACTTTTTTTTACATAGATAAATAAATTTTCTAGGCGATGCCACTTTACCTTGTTAAACTGTTCAACAGTGCACGCCTGAACAAAACAGTGATATCTTGTTCCGATTTACTCAATAAATTCAGCATATACCAGTAGATATTACTGGGGGTTCCTACACAAAGGCTTATCCCAGGAGTTTGGTAGTAGAGGCAAAAGATGGGCGACCGAATGTTTGCTGACTGATGATTTGGGCGTGAATCATTATCATGGCGCATGTAAGTTATCATTTATTTACAGAATACCTGCTGCGCCGTTAGACATTTGTAAAAGGGGGGGGGGGTGGCCATAACAGAATGCGTACAAAAACACATTTTCAATATGCATACACAAAACAATAAGAAAAGAAAGAAAACTTTATGAAAGAACATAACTGTATTTTTTTCCTAGAAAACAGCATCCTCTAAA